CATGACTGGTAGGTTATGGGGCATTCGTGTAACAGGTCATATGACATTGTCCTTTGGGACAAGGTTGTGGTTACACAAAGGAATGCAAACCAGCAATAGATGGTGCAAACACTAGATAAGTCTTTGTGGCCATGTAAATCCATTGAAATTGGGTAACAAGAAGTTCATTTGGGAAGACCTGAGTAGAGAGGTAGCCAGATCTTCGACGGCTCTACTGTAAAGGCTAGCCTTATAAAACGGATATCAAGGTCAAAGTAGCTGGATGGACAAAAACCTTTAGGTGGGGGGTACTACTGACCAGGCCACCAGATCGAGCCAAAGGAAAAGGATATCAGGCTGACCTAATATACCAATGAACCAGTCATAAGTCCTACTGGGCTATCTGGATTGGAAGTTTGGTGAACCAGCAGGGGTATACTAAAGTATTTCAGATATGCTGTGAAGTAGATGCTAGAGTTTGTGTAAACTCTATAAGGGCATAGCAGTTTAATGGTCAGCCCTAATCACAAGTGTTGGTTTTGCTATAGCGATGCATAGGTCAGCTGTAAAAATGAATACAGAAGGCTCTGGGAGGTTTACCTCGAGGATAAATTAGTTCTAAGATTGAGGATGATGATCTGGTATATCTGAGATAACCAGTGATGTTAACACAAGTTACAGGTTCAGAGGGTTTAAAGTGGAACACTCAAGCAGGATGTTAGGTATGACAATTAGTAGGAAACCTTTGGGAGGACTCCTTAAATAGGTAATATAGAAAAGTTACATGTGTAGCCAATTGTACACTCTCCTGTAGTGGTTCATTGAACCACAATACTGATAAGTGATTAATAAAAGTCAAAAGACCAAAGAGGTCACCTTAATACCAAAAAATAAAAAATAAAAAAAGACCAAAAAAATATAAATACTTTTGCAAGATATAAAAAAGGCATTTGATTTAGTTTTACTTAAGAGCTTTGAGTTTGCATTATAAAGAGTCAGAATACTTAAGAGAACAATTAAATACATCTTAAATCTTTTTTACAAAAAACAATTAAGAATAATAATAATATATAGTCTGATAAAAAAAATAATAGCAGATGATAGAATAAACCAAGGTGAAGTAATATTATCATTAATATAGCATAATATATATTTTATGATCTACTGTCAAAAAAAGTACAAAAAAATAAAGGTCTAGGTTATATAGTAGAGCAACAAGCTAAGAAAAACATGCAATGCAATAATATCACATAATATTGCTAAGCAGCAATTGCATATACAAATAATACAAATAATAAAGAACATCTATTAAAGATCTTAAAAATAACTTAAAAGTTTTTTGAAATAAATGTCATAAAGATAAATGAATTCAAATTAAAACTCTTGATAATGAATACAAAAGTCAAAAAAGAAGAAAAAGAAGTAGTATTTGGGAAAAACAAAATAGTAAAAGAAGATAGTCTGAGCACTAAAAATATGACTAAATAGCAAAATATAAGAAACATTAATAAAAAAAAAGCAAGAGAAATAATATGATAAACAATAAGAGATCTCAAGTACAAAAAAATAACAATAAGCCAAATTGCATATATAAACAATATAATAATAATATTAAAATTAAGTTATATATTGTAATTAATAAAGATGTTAAATAAAAATATAAATAAAATATATCAACAAATAATAAGTTTGGCTAAACAGAAGAATAATCTGCAAAGAAGATTAAAGAATTACATAATAGAGTATAAAGATTTTAAAAGTTACAAAACATTATGACAAGAATTAACAATAAAACATATTAGCAAGATTAAACAAATATAACAATCTTAGATAGTTAACAAAATTGAAAATAACACAAGCCTGCCAAAGAGCAAGTCTAATAGAAGACATATGAAAATTAAAAAAGATGTTAGAAAATAAAAATTGCTAGAAAAACAATCTAGCTTGCCTAATAATATTAAAAGCAAGAAAGTTAAGAATAAATATAAAAATATAAAACAACTTATAGATAATAGTAGAACATGACACTAAAATAAAAAAACTTGGCATTACTTGCTTGTAGAAGAAGAGTAGAATTAGAATAAGTAAATTAGATCTAATATACTTGAATTAGTTGCTTAATACAAAAGGAGAAAAGCTAATTACATAGCAACAACTAAAGAACTATCAAGATCTAACATGCAAAAAAAAGAAAGCAGAATGGTTTAAGATAATAAAACTAAAGGTACTTAGCAGACCAGAAAGCAGTGAAATCAAAGAATGCTATAGAACAAATAGGCAAAATATCCAAGCAATACAGATCAAGAAGAAACATATTTCAGAAGATAGAAGAAAGAAAAAATAGGTAGTATATAATATATAAAATTACAGACAGCTAGAAAAAACAATTAAAAAAAAGTAAATAGAAATATATACAAAAGTAATGTTGCAATAAGAAATATTAGCAGAAGTTAAAAACAAATAAACAGAAACAAAAATTTTAAAAAGAAGAATACAATATAGATAATAAAGATTAATAACTTTATTAAAACAAAGAACATTCAGATAGAGTTAGTCAAAGTTAAAAGTCATAATAAAGACATGTGAAATAACAAAGCTAATAGTCTAGCAAAAGAAGAAACATTAAGTGAGAAGATTATACAGGCCAAAGAAGTTAGTTATAAAGAGATATAATACTGCCTAAAGTAGAAAAACAGACAAACTAATATATTAGCAAGACTGCTTTGTAAATTAGTAATAAATACAAGATTAGAAGCAGAATGAAAAGAAATAAAAACAATTAAAGATTTAGAACCAAAAGCAGAAGCCATGATTTATAATTAAATATAGTTTTAAAAAATACTAAAGATGACTAAAAAAATGCATTACATAATAAAAAAAAGTAGTGCAAGAAGAAGTACTTTTATAAAATACATAATAGATAAGCTTTTAATCTTAAAAGAACTTAACAAAAGAAAGCCAGAAATCTATATAACAACAGAATGCCAAGTATGTCAAGACAAAATAAAAGAAACACAAGCATACTTGGCAACATGCAAAGAGCAAAAAAATTTATGAAAAAGAATCCAAAAAGTGATCATTACAATAGCATAAAAGAGATTGAAAGAAAAAAAAAAAGCCGGAGTTTTTTCATATATATTATATATAGTATTTTTTAAAAAAACAGAAGCAAAAAAAATTAAAATAAGAGAAGAACTAATTAAAGATCTAATTTTAAAAAAGATGCAGAACAGGTTAATACAACTTCTAAATAGGAAATTAAAATAACAGTTTCTGAAGATAATCATAAAAATAGTCTAAAATATATTTTATAAACATATGTAGAAAATATAATATAAAAAAATTAGTAAATAAAAAAAAAAATAGAAATAACAGATAAAACAAAAAGATGAATAGAAAAAGAGAAAGGAACCAAATAAAAAAAGAAGCAAATTAGCAAAAAATAGAAAAATGAAAAGAGAAAGCAAAAAAGAAGGTAAAATAAATTAAAAAAAAAACCAAAAAAACAATGTTGGGGCTTATTATGGAAAGAAAAAAACCTTTCTATTATGAACTTTAAATAGTTAAACAAGTAGCTTACTTCTGTTTGAAGTAATGCAACAAATTGCATTTAAATATTGTTAAGATAGTCAAATAATGCTAAACTTAGTTATTAGAAATATTTATGTAATTGCAAATGTAATTTTTAATCTTAATAAAATACTAGTATAACTGTTTAAGAAGAAAAAAAAATTTTTGTAAAGTAGGTTTTTGTGATTCTAACAGTAATAATTTTATTAAAATTAGTTACAATCTTAACAAATTATCAATATTTAAAGATTAGGTATAATAATTTATTATAAAGTTTATTATATAAAACTACAAAAATTAGCTAATTAAAATAGATTATTTTGTATTATTTAGGCAAATTTAAGTTAATTTAAATAAACTTTATAATATATATAAGTATAAATTTTTTATAATTAATAAACTTTAAAATTTTATGAAAAGATATATATTATTTTAATATATATATTATAAAAAATTTATAAATTTTTATTAAATTTTAAAAAAATTATTATAAATATTTGTCTATTTTTTACTAAAAATGCAATTTACTCCATAAATTATATAGAAAATAATTTACTATACCTACTACTCTTAAATACTCAGATCTTTATACTATATAAAACAAATAACATTAAGCTTCTGTTTATTTAAATCTTATCTAACTTAATATCTAGTCAGGTTTTTATACATATTATTATGTTATACAGTCGTACCTCTATATAATCACCCAATTTATCTAACATTTTTTGGTGATTATAAAGAGGGGTGATTAAATAGAATTACCTCTTTATAATCACACAATATAAAATAATATATATAATGTGATTTTAAAAAATATACAAAGCTAATTATAACTAACACAAATAAATATTTAGTTTATTTACTAGACTACTTTATATAATTAAAACTTTTAATATTTTATTAAAGATGCAGACTTATAACATCACCTAGTTACATTTTATATAAAAAATTAGTTTATAAAATAAAATGCAATTGCAATTGAGCTATAACTAGTGATGTAAATAAGTCTGCATTTATAATTTTTATATATTAATTTATACCAGGAACATAATAATGTAAATTACAAAGTATATAGTTAACAGACAACTAGAATAGCCAGTGTGCAAATTCTAAATTATAATTGGATAGTAATTAAATATATTAAATTTATAATAAGTTATATACTTGAATAAATATGCAAAATTGTAACAAATCATGTGTTTGTTATTCTGTATTAATAGAGCTAATGAAGCTTAATAGTTTTGAATTAAGCTCAAAAAACTAGTATCCATTAGCTCTATTGGGCTCTATTGAACTTCATTGTACTCCATTGTCAATCCTAAGCCTGTATATATTAGTACGTTCAATTATAATAGAATACTGTATAACATTTTATCTCTATATAGCGATGATGAAATTAAGCCTTTAGGATTTTATATATACATCAAGTAATAGATTTATTTAGTGATATTTCAGATATCTGAAGTTATTGCTACAAAAGTAGGTATATCTTCAGATTCAACATGTATGTGTTTATATTAATATTTATTTTATTTCTTGAACAATATACATGTATAAGATTGATCCATTATTTATAAATTGTCAGGTCATCAAATCTGAATACCATTGAGGTTAAAATCTTACTTTGTTTAACCAATAATCCCTACTTTATATATTCACAGAAAAGCTATAACGATACCTAACTCTTAGGATGAATGTGAAATGTATATAAATTATGATAGTTAAATATTGACAATTAAAAAAAAAAAAGAACCATTATGCAGTAATAAAATTTATTTTTAAAAAAAAAACTTCAGAAAATATATATGCTATATTTCTAGTTTAAGCATGACTGCGTCGTGCAGCTACTACTAATTCTAATAACATTAAGTTATGCTAGGATAGAATAATTAAATATTACTTACAGGTTTCATTTGAAGTTATTATCAATATACTATAAAGCATTGTATTCAAGTTGGCCAGGATGGCTCCCAAATCGCAGTTACATAGACAACAACTAAATAATTTTCAAATTAGAGAAGTGCCATTTATTACCTAATTTCTTTTTATTAGAAGGTCAGACCCCCTTCCCCTAATTGATCAAAATTTTATATTGTATACTGTAGTTGCAGCTTGTATAACTGCACTTTGGGGAGGCTACCCTGGCTGAACCACTGTATTCAGTATTTTCAGATTAAGAGCCACATATATTTCAATACTATCGCGTGAAAATTTTAACTTATATCAGTTTGTAAACCTTGTGACATCCAATAAAAAGAATCACTGCCTAAGAATCAGTTTAATGTACTACTTAAATTGCATACTCCTCTTTACACAGTATCATTCGGGTACAAATCAAGTTAATTAGGATATTTTGAATTTATACTCTGAGTACCGAATGCAGTGCTCTACAAATTAAAGTTCAAACTGATTTCTTATATCTAATGTACTATATTATATATCTGTTGTATGCCGAATAGATTCATTGAAAATTTAGAATCTATTTAAAATAAATTAAATGGATTCTGAATTATTTTCATCGAGTATATGTTTTAAAATTTAAGTCTAAAGATTTATTCATAATGTGACATGTTTATAGTTATGGCAAATTACTTTTTTTTTTTTACATTTATGATGATTTTATTACAAATGCTTCTTGAATGCTTATGAGTATTGAATAAATGCTATCTAACTTCAAGAACTCAATAAACATAGGTAGTTTTGAGTCAAGTTTAATAAGTTGTAAAACCTTAATACAGATATCAAAGTCTTTACGTATAATAACGATTTATATTGCTATTAGCTGATTTGCTGCTAAGATATTTGAAAAATGATTCAAATACATCATGAGATAAAAAAAATAATCTCTAGATTCAGTCATCAGATGGCATTACAAAGCTTAACACTTTATACCAGAATTTATTTTATAAAAACCAAGTTTTTAAATTCACAAAATAGAACCTAAAGGTTTAGAACCAAAGCCAAACCCAGCTAACTAACCAATCGAGCATAATTTTTCTGTTTAAAAAAAAATCACCTAGCACTAACTATAGCAGTAAAAAAAAATATCAAAATAAAAATAAGAAAAAAATAAAACAAAAATCCTGTTATTAATTCTAAATATGTAAAAAAAAATCAGTAATAGATTTTTGTTTCATCGATTCTACATATTTCTTTTTTACTAATGACAGATATTTTTTAAAAATTTTTAGATCCTCCACATTAAAGTCACAACTTTGCTGCTGCTCAACAAAACTAATAAATTTTTTTAGTTTATTCAATCCTTCTATAATAGGAATTTTAGGTGGTTCTTCAAAGTATCGCTTGCATCACTTTCTTCTAATTCCCGTTGTTCATTCAACACAATATTAATGATCTGCTCTTCACTAAGAACATCTTCGGTAAGTACTGAAGTATCATTTATATAGTTGAATTCACTTAGTTGGTGTTCGATTGTTGAATCTGACAAGTTCGTTGTTAGATCTATGATTAATTCTTCAATGTTATTATTTTTGGAATCTGCTAAGTCTTGAACAGCAAGAATAGCATCTTCGATCTCAGCATCCGGTAATGGAAGAATTCCTGTTTTGTTCTAACAATTCATGATGGTTGATTTTTCAACTTCGTCTCATGCTTCTGCAACATAATAAATTGCATCTCTAATGTTTAGTTTGTTTCTATACAAATAAAAATGTTATTAAGATTTTTTAATTTTATATAAAAAACCAATTGGAATTAAAAATAAAAAATCAGTATTGTGAGCTAATCTAAAAAAACAAACTTAACCCACAATACTAGCATAAATGGGTGTATAAAAACAGTGTTGGTCTATGATCCGTTATAACCTATTGGCTAGTAATAAATAATTTATAAAATTACTAGTATTATATTATGATCATTTTGGTCATATAAAGTCCTAAACAGCCAATATCATATAAAGACCCACTTAATAATTAATTCGCTATAAAATTAGACCCAAATATGAATTATAGTTTTTTTTTTAAGCTATAATGCATACTATGCATATACACTTTAGAAAATTTCCTTTGTATAATTGATAAAATAGAATAGATTATACACCTATTTATACAAATTGAATATTATGAGACTATGCGAATTTTGTAAGAAAGGCAAATATAATATAATTTTTGTAATGTTTTAAGTAGAGTTTTACATTGCCATTTGCTACTACATACTGTAGCCAGTGTAATGCAATCTTTGGTATATACTATGTATCACATGCATATATTAATAGTATTTTAAAAATTATTCACATTTATTTTTCATAGCAAATATGTGCAGTATGCAGTGGTAAATGATAATATGTTCTTACTTTTTTAAGTCTTTACCTTTTTCAAACTGATTGATTATATGCTGAATATATTTTTTTTTATATTTTGCTTTAAAGCTATAGATTATTCCTGCATCCATCGGCTGGAGATAAGCAGTAGTTTTGGGAGGTATAAACTCAATTCGAATATTTGTTAAACAAATGTCAGAATAATCTGGGATCCTATAGGGGTGACCAGTGCCACGACGTCCCTTGCTATTATAAGAAATCTGTTCACACCTGCGACCACATTCACGCCCACATCCACATCCTTTTTGCTTATTAATATTACCAGTATTTAATCTTGGATGACCACGTCATGCATATAGGGTTTTAGATGAGCTTGCAAGAACATCTTCCTTTGATTCTAATTCTTCACTTTCTGATTTTTCACTTCCTGATTCTTCACTTCCTGACTCTTCACTACTTGATTTTTCTTTGTCACTCAATTCTTCATATAGTTCTAGTGTATTTTTATTATTATTATTATTATTAGAATCATAATGACTCATTGCACTATCAACTAACAATAAAATTTTTCGGTTTTCTAAACAAAACTTTTTATCAAGCTTTGAGAGCCATCCACAGAATATTTCGGTATGCATCCAAGCCTTTAAATTAGCACGATATGTTACGGATAAGGCATCATAATTCAAATGGGCTAATGCATGGGGCTCGATAGATGATCCAATTACTATAGGTTTTAACTTTTCAGTCCCAGTTGCATTTGTAGTTAGCATAACAGTAATACGTGCACAATCCTAGAAATAATGAAATAAATTATGATAAAATTAATAAATTAAATAAAACATACTGATACTAAGAGGTTTCAAAATTAAAAAAAAAAAAAGTATTATGAAAATAAATGAAATATTAAAAATTTTATTTGCTTTAAATTTTAAAATTAAAAAATGAAATAAAAAAATTTGAAGACTTATTTTTATATAATTAGTAAACTTTAAATAAATCTATCAGCATTTTTATAATATATTCCCATATTTTAATTCTGAAACCTATACTTGCCATCCAAGTTAATACAAATTCTAAAATCCAAAAGGACAATGCTATTTATAAAACATCAAATGAAAAAAATGAATTTGATACTTTGTAAATATATTCTGTATAACTATAAGAATATATTTAATTTGTTTAGATAAAGATTATTAATTAAGATTTAAGATATTAATTATCCCAAGTTTGTGATTTGGAGTTTAGGTGTAGCAAACTATAATAGCTTGGGATTCAGGCGGCAAGTATACTGAAACCCTTTAGTTCAAGTTTGAGTAGATTAAAAAAACCTTTTTCCATCCTGATTGTGGTTGTGTCGCAAGTGTTTGGTGCAGTATCATATGAAAATATAAACCTGTTTCATCTGCATTAAACAAATCATTTAAAGGATATTTTTCAATTACTTTACATAACTTTGCTCTTTTTTCTGGAATTAATTCTAATGGAGCACTATTAGCTTCTCTGTGTAGCTGGTAATTCTACAAATTATTATTTTTTTTAAATTTCTGAACCCAACCATTAGAAAATTTTAATGCATTATCTGGCAAACCAAATGCCGAGGCAAAAAAATTTGTCTTTTCTTTAATAACTGCTTCTGTCAAAAAGATTTTATTATCTACGATCTGCTCAACCCACAGCTGCATAGCTTTGTCTAATAAAGGAAATTTAACTTTTTTGTGATGAAAAACAGTTATGTTAACATTATTATCAATGATTTGCAACCATTTATCCTTTTCTTTTAAAATTTTTGAAATGGTTAAACATTCAAGGTTTAATGCTGATTCCTTTTGGTTAAAATATTGTGCAATATTTAAATGTGTTTTATTTAGAAATTTATCGCTATATTCACAAATTTCTTTCTTTAAACTGTTACTAATAGCCGTTTTTGCTCTTTTATTCGACATTTCTTAAGCTTAGAAACCTTTATATCTTTATGAGAAAACTGTAGAATTTTAATTCTATGAAACTTTACCTATGATAAAATAAAACTTGAACTTGACTTACAATGAAACTTAACTCACAGTAACCGTTAACTCAAGATAAAACTTGTACACTGTGAATAAAACTTAATCACAGTAAAATAAGATTTAAAATCAATTTTATATGACAAAGCTAATAACAGTAAGCTTAACCACAAACTGTAAAAAAAAAAAAAAAAAAAATTTAATCTTTTTTTTTTTTTTTTGCAACTTAATTTTGCTGCATTTATATGTTTCATTCTAGCACATTTTGATATTTAACTCATGCAAACATATGTTATTTATCATTGTTATTCATAATGTTTTCATGCCTGTACATACGTAATAAAACTCAAATATGATTAAGAAAAAAAAAGCTTGTCCATGTGATTGCTCAGCTATAACATATGTTTGTAAATATGTGTATATAAGATTTGGTTGTTGATAAAAAATATAAACATACTAGTGTATGTACATAAACATATATTTTTTATCCTACCATCTGGGCCGTGGCCAATATTATGATTCTCCATTAACAAAATCTTAAATAGACAGTAATTACATACAATTGGTGCATTGGTATGAATTTATACCAAAGGTAATTCATAAATCTGCCTTTTTTTAACCACGCATGTAATTATTAATAAGCATGCGTATAGTAAATTACCCTGAAATTACTGTGATTCCTAATATAGTATGAATCTCCAAGAATTTGGTAACTAGAATTCTCTAAGTAGTTTTTCCCTTGTCGTTAGCACTTATCCATAAATTGTTATTTTGCTTAATTATTTTCTTGTCCCTGTGATTCGTATATGACCTATAAGCATTAATTAGAAAAAGATAAGAGAATGATCATATTAATAATCAAGACCCTTTTTATATAAAATTAATAGTGATTATGTTTGTGATTGTTACAAAATACCTACATAATCATATTTCAGCATCCCTGAGTGTTGAAATAAGTCATAGGATCTGAAAATAAGCAGTAAACCTGAATTTAAGAGAAAATTCAATAGAGCTATTAGTATTAAGTCAATATCTAAAAAGAAATGCAACAAAAGTAAAAAAGATACTTATCCAGATTCTAGTAATATACTCGCAAGACCTAAAGTTCCCAAACTTGGACCAAATCCAATCAAGCCTTGATTGAAGCCTACCAATTCTGGATTTTTTTTGGTCTTGTTAGATACTATTGTTGTAGTGTTGAGTTTAGTAATGTACCATTTATATGATACTCAGATTTTTTTAGCATACAGTATGTACAGTATGTACAGTACATACAGTACGTATAGTACGTATAGTAGGATTTTTTTTATACCATGGTTTCGGAATATTCCATAATCATTCCAGAATATTTAGGAACTTATAAATATAATGGCCTAAACTTCAGAACTTATAAAATGACTGTCAAAATTTTAGCATACAGTATGTACAGTACATATAGTACAGTATGTGGCACATCACTAGTTGAGTTGTATATTGCACTATTTGTTGATATTAGAGCCAGGTTACATTTCTACTGACGGCTACTTTCACTTATTATTTTACTTCTTGCATAACATCTAACTATGCATTTAGCAAAATAATTTATCTGCAAAAGACTAATGCATCCCATCAATAAATAAAAAAAGAATTATAAATAACTAACGGGATATAAATGAATGCACATTCTTTTGAGGAACCGTAGGACCGTGTACAGAGGTAATCGATTATGGAATAGTTGATGTAATGATTAGTAATTAAGGTTATCATTATAATGTAATTTAAGAGTCAATTGTAGTTTATTAGTAATAAATATAAAAGCCAATTAGTGAATCAGTGATGTAATTGCATATAACAATTAAATAAATAAGAGGTTCGATCTGAAAGATCGAACCCATATTTTGATTTTTGTGATACCTTTGAGATAATGTAATAGCACTTTAAGTAGTAAAGGTGGTGAAGTCATTATAAGGTGAAGATTGGCTTGAGAATCGAAGAGAGAGGTAGAATATGTAAAGCGAGTGAAACGAATAACAAATGAAACCTTTGAACTAGACATTTAATGTTGCGGATGATCGTGAAATTGAATGATGTTGAAATTTAAATATATTTTTATATACAATTTTTAAATTTTTTTGGGGCTTTCTCTTTTGACTTTTTTTTAATAGTTAAGTTAGGATTTAGGGTTAGACTTATTAAGAAATAAGTATAGGTGGATGCTTGTAGGGCTTATATTTTCAAATTGAGACCCTTATCATCTGATTTCACAATCAGCTGTGATATTTAATATGCAGTACCAACACTAATTAACCCTATGACAATGATAGATATTGTTTGTGGGTATTGATCAATTCTACTTTAATTATCGATCAAATAATTTCTTTATTAATTTTTATTGTCTTTTATTCAGTTAATTTATTGCTCTTGATTATTTAAGATTTATTTTTATTAAATGCTTCTCACATTGGTAGCTTGGCAGAATGTTATTATTGTGTTGTTTTACTATTAGCTAGTTATTTAAATAAAGTTTTACCCTATTTTTTTGCCTGTGTTATGTTGACTTTATTTTTTTTAAAAAAAAAAGTTATAGCAGTTTTAGCTTAAAATTGTAATTTAAAAATCTTACAGTTATTAAATTATAAGTACATTAAAGAAGACAAACAATAAAATATTGAGTTGTAAAAAGTAAAAAAACTAAAAGCATATTATGTTGATATCATAAGGTTGTCTCTTAATTTTATATATCAAATCAGATTTCAAGAGTGAATATGCAACATAACTATGAAAATTTGAAGTAAACATTTCCTTTGTCAAAAATTGTTTATTTCTTCAAACCTGAATAAGAAATGCCTTTAATGCTTTAACAGAAAGTGTTGAGCAATTTTGCTTTTAATACATGCACTTTCTAATTTAAATAAACTTAAAGAATTGTATTTGTACTGCAAGTCTAGCACATAGTATTCTATATACGTATGTGCCTGAATTAGAAATGCAGGTGATATTTAACATTTCAATTGAATAATTTTATTATACTTAGTTTTTTGATAGCGAAGTGTTAAACATTCTCTGTGGTTTCAATTCAAGTACTCATTTGCTAAACACTATTGGTATATATTCAAGAAGACTGTTATAAATACTCCAATTTTATCCATACCTCTTCCCTATAAATTTTTTTGAATTTTTTCTTAAACTATAAGCGAAGATATCTTGAAAACCACCAGGTTAAATTTGATGAACTTTTTTTTATCTGAATTATACAAATCTGTAAGAAAAGTTTATTGAATTTAGCTTAGGGTTGTCAAGATATTTTCATTCAAAGTTTCAAAATTTCAAAACATCTATCAAAATAGAGGCTGCATTAAAATTTTTTCTCAAACTTTTAATGAAGTTATCTTGATAACCACCAAGTCAAATTCGATAAACTTTTTTTATTTGAATTTTACAAATCTGTGAAAGTCATAAAAGAAAAGTTCATTGAATTTGGCTCAGTGGTTGTCAAGATACCTTCATTCAAGGTTTCAAAATTTTAAAATGTCTAACAAAATAGAGGATGTGACAAAATTTTTCTCAAGCTTTTGAGCGAAGTTATCTCGATAACCACCAGATCAAATTCAATGAGCCTTTTTTATTTGAATTATACTAACCTGTAGAATTCAAAGAAAAAAAAAACTCATTTAGTTTGATCTAAAAGATATCAAAATATCTTCACTTTAAAGTTTAAAAAAAATTAAAAAATAATTTATAGCTGTTCAAAAATTTTTTAACTAGCCAATTATAATTATATACTTGTAATCAATAAAAAAAAAGTGATTATAAAGAGGTCTTTTATTTAGTAAATTAATCTAAAAAATTTAAGAAAAAATGTGATAGTAATTGTATTATTGCTGTGATTATATAGAGGTAATTTTAATATTAAAAAAAATAACTGTATAAAATCATGTGATTATATAGAGTTTGTGATTATATAGAAAGTGATTGTATAGAGATACAACTGTATAATGCAACATTTAGCTTTTTTTCTATATATCTGTTAGACTGTTATTTATTTTAAAGATATTATTATTTTTTTTTAATCTTAAGCAGTCACACTAGTACTTTATTAAGATTCTTGAAATTACTTCTGCAATTACATAGATTTATCTAACAACTAAGTCTAGCATCATCTAGTCATCCAAAGAATACCTAAGTGCAACCTGTTGCACTACTTCGAGCAAAAGTAGGCTACTTGTCTGACTACTTAAAGTCTATAATGAAAGAGTCTTCTGCCTTTTATAACAAGTTCTATTATTGTTTTTTTAGTTTCTTCATTAATTCTATTCTTTTTCTTTTTTGCTAATTTTCTTTTTTCTTCAATCTTTTGCTGATTTGCTTTTTCTTTCTTTTTTGGATCCTTCTTTTTGACTTCTTTTTTCTTTATTTTAGTCATTATACCTTCTTTTTTCTCCCATTCGTTAACCTTTTCATACTGTATTCTCCAAACTTGTTCATAGAATGTGTCTTATACTGTTTTTGTCACTCTTTCAATAAACTGCTGTCTCACCTTGATGTTTAGAAGCTGTGCTAATCTTTCTTGCATCTTTCCTAGGATTAGGCCTTTGATTAAAGCTTCTCTCATCTCTATTTTTTCTGTTTCACTTTTTTCGAAAAGTGATGTATATAGTACATATGATGGGATATGGGTTTTTTCTTTTTCTTTTAACCCTTTCTAGGCTGTTATGATGGTCACTTTTTGGATTTATTTTCAGAGATTTGTTTGTCTTTTGCAAGATGCCAAGTGTGACTGTATTTCTTTAACTTTATCTTGACATACTTGACATTCTGTTGTTGTATATATATCTGGACATCTTCTGTTAAGTTCTTTCAAGGTTGGAAGTTTATCTATTATACACTTGATAAATGCACATCTTCTTGTACTACTTCTTTTTGTTGTGCTGTGTATCTCTTTAGTTGCTTTAAGTTTTTTCCAAAATTGTGTCCAATCATAAATCATGATCTCTGTTTTCAGTTCTAACTTTTTAATTGCTTTTGTTTTTCTCCATTCTGCTTCTAATCTTGTATTTGTTACCAATTTGCATAGCAGTCTTGCTGGGATATCAGTTCATCTGTTTTTCCACTCTAGGTAATACTTTATCTCTTTAAAACTAACTTTTCCTATCTGTATTACTTTCTTATTCCTTGTTCCTTTTTTTGTAAGACTATTAGTTTTGTTATTTTACTTGTTTTTGCTATGACTTTTGACTTTTATTAACTCTATTTGTATCTTTTTTGTATTAATAAGATCTATAATCTTCATTATTCATATCATATTTTTCCTCTTAAGGATATTCATTTTATCTATTTGCTCTAAACCTCTACTAATATTTTTTATCATAGCATTACTGTCTATATATATTACTACTTGTCTCTCTTTTGGTACTATTAGAATTGCTGCCTATATTGCTGCTAATTCTGCAATTGTCAATATCATCCATTCTTCTAGCCCTAGTAATATTTCTTTTTCTGGCCACTCTTGTAACTCATTTGTCTAGATCCATCCTATACCTATGTTCTGAGCTAGTAATTTCTCTCTGGTTTTTGCATTTGTTGTATCATCTGTGTATATAATAAATTTGCTCTTGTCTTTTGTTAAGTTTCTTCTTAGTATCTTTATAATTTCTTGGTTGACATTCTTATCTAAATTTTGTTGCTTGATTATTTCTACTTCTAGCTTTTTTATCATTATAAAACCTGTGAGTTTTTGCTCATTATTTCTTAACTTCTCTATTTACACTTTTCCTGTTAATTGGTCCAATGTCAACTTAATCTTGTTGTTACTTTTCTCTATTGATGTATCAGGAATTACTTTAATCTTGTTATTTAATCTTATCTATTGCTGGCAGCTGCCTTCTGTTTGTTCTTTTTCTTCTATACACTTGTTACATTTGCTAATTTCTGTTGCTAATTCATTTTCTTTGTCTTGTATTTGCCAGTATTCTACTAAAATCTTTTTTTTCTTTTTCTTTATTATCTTCTCTAGCCACCTGCAGTCTTGTGCACTATATATTATCCATTCCTTTTTTTTTTTATCTTCTGATATATAGTATACTTTTACTCTATTTTCATTGCTTGGGTATTGTATTTGTTTGTCTTAAAACATTCTTTGACTTCTCTGTTTAATGTTTTTTTAAATACTTTTAGCTCTATTTCTTTAAACCATTCAGCTTTCTTGCTTTTGCTTGACTGCTCAAGATAGTTTTTGAACTGTTGCCATGTGATTAGATTTTCATCTTTTGTGTTAAGCAGTTGATTTAAGTATATTAGGCCTGCTTCACTTATTTTTGTTCTACTTTTTTTCTACAAACATGTTTTCAAGAGCTCTTGTATTCTGGGACCATGTCTAAAGGTTCTCTATAAGTCATTTTCAGCTCTTATATTTATTTCTCATTTTCTTGCTTTTATTATCATTAAACATGCTAGGTTATTCTTCCAACATCTAATATTAGCTGGCATCTCTTTTAGTTTTCAAATGTCCCTTGTCAAGCCTGCTCTTTGACAGCTTTGTGTTATTCTTAGCTTTATTAGTTGTTCTAAGTTATCTTGTTTGTTTAATCTTTCTAGCAGACCACTCACTTGCTTCATTACTAGCTTTTGTTGTAATGTTCTACATCCACTGAGATCTTTATGTTCTATTATGCAATTTACTAATGTTCTTTACAAATTGCTCTTCTGTTTTGCTAAACAAATCATTGGTTGATGTATTTCATATATTCCTTTTTCTGAAATTTTAGTTAACTGAAGCATGTAGCTTAGTTTTGAAATTATTACTATATTATTTATATATGTAATTTGGCTCATTGTCATCTTTTTGTATTTAAGATCTTTAATCATCTAACTGATTATCCCTTTAGCTTTTTTTTTGACTAATACTTCTCATATTTTGTTGTTTAACCATATTTCCAGTGAGTAAACTATTTTGCTTCTTGGTTC